CGTATAGATACGTATTCACTCGTTCTACGCGAACGCAGAGTACCGGGGGCGCGGGGTGAATCATCTCTCTTGTATTTGGAGCTCGAGCGATTGAAAAGAAAAGCAGACGCAAGCAACGCCAAACGACGCGCCTGCCGCGCGCGCGGGGGGAACGAGGTAAAAGTGGGGAAAAATAATAAACGCACTTGAAGCTTTTCGCGAGAGCGCGTGGGTTAGCGAGAGGGGTAACCGGGGAATACTAGGGGCAGGGGAGATCGCGCGGAAAATATTGGCAGATCCCGGAACGCGCCCCGGGAGAGAAAAAACGAAACAATGCGATTCCATCGAGCTACGGTGTGCGCGTTCACCTCTTTAATTCTTGGAAAGCGGAAAAAGAAAAAGAATATACAATAACCCGCGTGCGCGCAGCGGGAAACAGTTCGATGCATCCGGCAAAGAATGGATACGTGCGGGAAACGAGGTAACGCGATGGAAATCGCAACAAACGCGCGCGAGCCACTTTCGCGACCTCTTCAATTAGCAGTTTTGCCGAGCCCCGGTCTCGATGAAAGAGAGAGAGAGAGAGAGAGAGAGAGAGAGAGAAAGAGAGAGTCTGATAAATTTGATGATAAAGTTAAATTAAATATATATTTATTTTTATTTTAATTCTATGTAATTCTATTTAAAATAAATAAGAAAGAAAATGAAAAAAATAAATAAATAAGATCTTAAAACTATTCAAATAAAAATAAAATATTTAATTTTCTCATATCAAAAAGATATAATAAAAATATATCAATATACTATAATAACAATGTTAAGGATTAAAGGGATTGAATGATGTTCGAGAAATGCTTTAGCACGTAAAATTGACTTCGACTCGGCCCTGTTTTTCGTTTACGACTTACTAAAGATCTCGACGACATTCTTGCTGATAAAAGAGTAGAGTAATAATAAAATTACGCAGAGCGTTAAACACTCTTTGTCGAGTGATTAGGAAGTAATTGGTTGCAATAAGAGACATTCGGTCTGCTATACATCAATGAATATGTGCAGCCTGGCTCCTGCTTTCAAATATTTGGGCCTTAGATGAAATATTATTCGAGATAGAAGCGCGTTTTATGTGTGTTTTATTTATATTGCAAAAAATATAAAACGTTAAATTTTAATACAAAAATTAATTCTATAATTTATGTAAGTCTATAATGTTTAGAATAATGATAAAAGAGAATATCAGATTCATATATTGTGTGACTCATAATATTGATTCAGTTCTCTGTTGTTACATTTATAGACTTCTCAATAGGCGATTCATAAACCATGCATCTAGTTTACTTCGATATTAAAAAGGCGAGTGTTGTCCATACTGAAACTTAGTTTTTCAAAACAGCTTTAATCATGCAAAGTTTCTAGCACACGCAAATATTCACGAAAGAAAGTAATTATTTAGCGATAAATAAATAAAATATGTGCACAATACATACAAAATGCGTAAAAAATAGAGTTTTGTCGTTAAAATGAGAATGTTTTCGAAAATATATGCTCATCCAGATTAGATAAAATCTAAAAATAAATACCTACTAGATTATACAATCTTATTTATGTGTAAGTACGTGATAAATAGCTTTATTGTCAGAAATCTATTTTAGATCTATTTTGTCTGTGTGAAAAAGTAATTGCATACAAAATAAATATTACGTAGCTCCGACATTGCGAGTTCAATTCTTCGTGTGTTTATATTAGGTATGTGTTTTTCGCGCCAATTTTACGTTATAATTTCCGTTGCCGCGACACACAAGCAAATTATCTTCGTAGATCCTTGAACTTACCAAAATGACGTTCATATTTCAACCTTTTTTCGACATATTCGCATATATACGCGAGCTAACTGTTCGCAGATTAGGTTATCTTGTTCAGCTATCGGACTATATTTACATATATCAATCGTGTCGCGATAGAGGATTAAACGCTCGAGAGAGCCGAATATCACGTTAGTTTACAATCGCACGAATACACGCGTGCGCCTCACCGGAAGGACTTAAACGACCTCGAATAATCGCTGAGTATTGACAATCGCGGCCACGTTTTGGAGAGACGAGAGGTTAGGACGTTCAGTTCTGTCCGCCTGTTCCGTCCCGCCAACTGGTGGAACTTCTCGCGGGTAAGGTAAAGGCCGTATCCTATGTCTAGTCGACATCGCGACACACGAC